AAATACTTTGTTCTTCAAAGTACTATAGGGCCACCCAACCAGGCAAAGGTAGTAGATGAACTTTTTGCTAAGCATCCCTGATATCATGCATTTCTGTGTAGCTGTAGTAATTCTTTACATACATACATAATTTCTGTGCCACTCTAGTAATTCTTTACACACCGTACAGACAGAATAAGAATAGAATAATAACTTTATTGTCACTTTGAGTGTACACTAATCAGCGTACATTAAAATGAAATTGCATTGCATACAGCTCTCAGTGGGTCACCACCTCCCATATACACTACATAAATATGGCAAAAATAAATAAACAAATACAGAATTATGCATATACCCACATATATTATATGATACAGAGAAACAACACAGTCTAGTTTGGATTATGTATACATGTGCATAGCAAGAAATACGAATTTTGCGAATTTGACGGAAGGCATAGGGAACAAAGCTATTACAGAATCGGGAAGTCCTGCTAGAAATACTTCTAAACCTCCTCCCAGAGGGGAGCATCTTTGCATACTATGCATACATACAACCAGTGCTTTTTTTGTAAAAAAAAAAAAAAAAAAAAAAAAAGGTGCCAGAACTCACACGTCATATAACCCGCCTTGCCTATCCTACAAGGTTCCATCCAAAAAAGGTGCCGGAACTCCATTCTGGGCGTTCTATGACAAAAAAAGCCCTGCATACAACTACAGTATTGCTACTCTTTTATTAGATCTGTTTCTTTTGAACAAATCAAGGATACTAGTAGTATCCTTCTACTAGTACATTATCATCATAGCTTCCATTTCATCAAGTTTCAGTGATAATAGCAATGTTCGTCCCAGGTCTATTGACAGTTTGTGGAGGGGGGGAGATTAAAGTTGACTTGCAGTTCCAGTAAAACAGGTGATCAACCTGTCAACACAACCAGGAAGCCTGCCAGTTAAGGGGAAAACAACAAGGAAAATGTGACTATTGTGAAAGACGGGGAGTTTTGGGAATGTAATTAATTGTTGTGGTTGCTTCATCAGCCTGCCCCCAGATCTGTCAGATTAAAGAAAAAATAACTGCCTCCCACGCGTGCTGAAAGAACAAGCTGTTTCGGGGCAGTAGGTAAATAACCAACCTCCCTTAAAATAATATTTAGATTACATGGACTTCCAGTCCAAAGTTGGACAGCTGTTGGCATCCTTCCTGATCACCATTTAAATTCTTTCATTGCTCCCACCAGAACTTTAAAGAAGAGTCTAGGTATACCTACTAGATGTAACCATTTTTATTCTGGAGATTGGAAGGCCCACTGGAACTGAGCAGCCAATAAATTTAAATAAATCAACATGACCATCAAAAAGCCATTAAAGACACCGTTGATGTTATACATACCAGATTGGATGCAGGGAAGAACAGAATAGCTCAGTGGTGGTGAACCTATGGCACACGTGCCAGAGGCGACACTCAGAGCCCTCTCTTGGGCACTTCTCTGAACTACTGGTGGTGGGCTGCAGAGCCCCAAAGTGCGCCAGTCAAGGGGCCGGCAGGCTGTAGCTGCTGACGGACACTGTCGGCCCCCATGCACTCACTGGCCTCTGTGTGCGGGGGCCGATGGTGTCAGGCAGCAGCTGCGACAATGGCACCCCAGCCCTGCCTCGCCTCACCCCGCAGGACGAGCCTCCTACCCACCATCCCACCTGCAGAGACCCCCTGGATCTCCCCCAACCCTGCCCAGCCCCCACAGGCGTCCCTCCCCACGAGCAACATTGAAGTGACCACGCCCATCTTGGCCACACCCACCCAGTCTGCCATGACCACCACAGCCACGCCCACCCAGTGGGCTATGCCCACTTGGCACCCAGCAATAAATAAGTGAGTTTTGGGTTGCAGTTTGGGCACTCAAGTCTCTAAAAGGTTGACCATCACTGGAATAGCTTATTAGCAAAAGTTATCAGGGGACTTCTGTGTATTAAAGGCTAACATTTCATTTGAAAACCAGTCATCACAAACAACATTGGCTGGTCAGAAATAAAAAGAAAGCTCAGAAATTGGAAGAATGATTTAGGTTGGAAAAACGCAACCTTTTCATCCACCTTTGCCTATGTGTGCAAAAATCTATCTAATCTGAGAGCTACTACTTATGTATGAGGAGTTTTAAGAGCATAGAAGTTATCTTAGTCTGACTCCTAGTGGTCAGTAGTATAACAAACTGGCTCTCTGTTGATTTAATTATGTACCTTGAATTCAGAAAAAATAAATTTATTTATTTTTTTATTACTTCGGGTGGATAAATTGCTGCTTGATAACATTTACCACAACATTCTGCAGTTTCTGAATTATTGTTCCATGATAATGCAGTGAAAAGCTTTTCTGAGAAATCTATATGCCCTAGAAATGCCAACTGTTCCTTTGATTGTTCATAAGCTAAAAACCACAGAAAAGATATATATAAGGCAGGGCGAGGCAAATGGCTTGGATGTTCTCAAAATCCCTTCCATTCTATGCTTTCTGAATCTAGGAATAATGGTAATTTGGGAGAGGGGCTGAATTGCCTTTCCTTTTCCTTTTGCAAAAAGCCAAGGAAAAGTTGATAACTGTTATCAGCAGCACATCATGTGCTTTTCAAGAATGTTTTGTTTTTGAAAATGTTTGTTTCGTTTGTTTTGTTACCTTTTTCTTCTCCACTTCCCCAACCAAAGTCTTATGGCTTCTGCTCTTAACGTGGCTACTTTTGGGTAAATGACTACGATTTTTAAGAAATTGCCTTTTTATTTTCTTTTTTTATTATTCTGATCTGGACCTGCTTCTTTATCTCCTTCCCTTCCTTTCACAGGCATGCACACCCTTTCTTTGTTTGTGGATGTATTTAAGCTTGTTCTATCTCTTGTTTCACGAGTATTTTCCTTTAGATTTGGGGACCTTTATCTCTTGAGGGACTGGATCCATCTCCCGTTGGAGGTGGTTTCCCTGATTCTTGCAATGAGGAGGCCAGGAGTCCAACTGTTCAGGAAGTGACCTTTAGATGAACACCAAGATGTTTTCTGGGGGAAATGACAGAATAACATAATAGCAGAGTGGAAGGTACCTTGGAAGTTGTCTAGTCCAACCCCCCTACATGAAAAGGCATCTTTGAGACTGTGGGAAGTCAGCCCCACAGAGAAGGAAAAATTAAAAGGGCAGGAAAATACATTTTCTCAAAGGATCTTGAAGAGGCAGGAAAGCATGCCCAGTTTTCTTAATAGCCCCAAGTCTGTCTCCCCCCAAGCAGAAGCCAGCTCTGTACAAATGCAGATGTAAACCATCAGGAAAGTTGGAGCTAGATTAGAAAGACAAAGACCTAAAATCTGCATACCCCACCTGAAACAGGACATGGTAGGATTAACTCACAAAGGCCAAAGGGCACACCCAAACTCAGGTCAGAATACATGACACAGGAAATAGCCGCAAAACAGGAACAGGAAATAATTCCAAACAAAAGGCTTCAGAGGATATAAAAACCTACTCCCTACATGTGTTCAGCCCTTTTTTCTCTCCTCTTTGCTGCCAGAACCATCTTCCTGTCTGGCTCTCCTCTTCAATAAAGTACAACCTTCTTCCCAAAGAAGTTGCCATGTTTATTCCCAGCTTGGATGAACCAGGATGAAGACTTTTCTTCCAACAAGACCTTCTGTCATGGTGGCTAACCAGATGCTTGCCCTATTCTCTTCTCAATGTCACCTTAATATCTGTGATTTCTTGAAGAGTCTGCTAAATACATCAGCATCCCACCATGCATCTCTCAATGTTAACTTTTCTCACCTGCTGCCTCTTTCCTGGCTCCTCAGTGGCAGCAGGGCTGAGTAGGAAGCCTTCGGCCAGGGCATTCCCTCAGCCAGTTCACCAGCTCCAGGGGGGCAGCAGGGCTGGCAGCTGCCATGCCCTCCTGGCCTCTCAGAAGCTTGGCAGAGTGTTGCTTCTTAGGCAAAAACATGTAAACTCCCCCCCCTTTTGGGGGAGGGCTAGAGTGTTTCCTAAGGCAACTACCACCTCTCCTGTCCTCTACTCGGCATTGAGGGCTGGCAAAAGTCCTCTGCGCATGCTGTTTCATGCTGATGCTCAAAGGACGCCTGGTTCTGCTGCTGGGGGAACATTTGGTCCAGAGTGCCAGGGGGTGCGAGTGTGGTAAAGGGCTCAGGGGCCAAAAATGATGGGTGCATTGGAGATGGAACTGGGCTGAAATGAGCGACTTTGGAGGAACGCTGGTTTGATTGCTGCTTCTGGGCACCTGGGATTTCACTTTATCCCAGAATCCTCTTGGAAATGTGGATGTGTTCCTGGGACAAGTGGAAGAAGGGGAGGGGGGAGACCACATGGATGGCATTGCAAATGTGAGAAAAGGTAAGAACCCAGTGCAGGCATCTAGCCAGTAAATTCATTTATTATTAAATAAATGCGTAAGCAATAAATACTTTGGCATTCCTTCAGGCCAGTTTATTTGTCCTCTCTGTTGTCAGTATCCCTATTGTGACACTCAATGAAGGTGGCCTTTTCAAAAGACAACTGGACTTCATTTTTACTTGAAGATGTTTCATTTCTCATCCAAGAAGTGTCTTCAGTTCTCAGTTTCTTAGCTTCTCAACTAAACATCTTCAAGCAAAAGCAAAATCCAGTTGTCTTTTGAAAAAGCATCTTTGGGACAACCATGATCTGCATGACTGAGAATTTCCAGAGAGTCCATGAAGAATCCCTCTTTTTCTACAGAGTACAATCTGCCCTACATCTTTTCCTGTTTGATATCTATTTCTGTTCTGTTGAAGTTTGACTTTTTGTTCACTTTTTCTACTTGATCTTTCCTGCTGGGTGGATTCTTGATCTGGTTTCAAGGGGCTGCACTACCTAAAATAACCCCAGAAATTGACTTTCTGAAGTGGGTTTTCTCCCTAGATGGATTCAAATATGGGACTCGGTATCACTGACCACGATGACAGGATCAAAGAGTGAAAAAAGAATGCACGAAAGCATACTGTAGAATTACAACTCATAAGAGTTTTATTAGTAAGATTCCAAGACAGTAAGAGCATAAGGAGTTTCTTCCTCAAAATATGTTGGGAAGCTCAAGTGGTGAGGAATAATTGAGGTGGCAACTGCTCAAAAAGAGGTTGTCTTTCTGGGGCTGATCTCACTTCTCCTTCCCCTAGTCAAAAGATAACAAAGGAAAAAGCCAAGATTTGTTTAGTTAAATCTTGAGAGAGAAACAAGAATATGAGCAGTACTTTGCGGGAATTAACATAACTCTACAGATTAAAATGCTTTCTAAATTTGATAAACGTGAATTGTTTTATATAGAGGTTTTTTTTAGTAAATTAAGAAGGAAGCCCTCAGTCCTCCCTTTGCAAAAGATAGTGAGATGGTGATGGGCAATAAGGAGGAAACTGAACAGCTTAATCCATATTTTGCCATCTTTTTTCCCACATCATGGGGAGGGAGAAGAAAAATGCAGGTCAAAGTAGGCAAGGGAAGACTGGCTGCTCTTAATGAATTCAAATATTTGAGACCAACATTATTCTGAAGCTCCTTCCATGAATTTATATAGTTTCTTCTGTGGACATTTTTTATGAGAATTATGGTGTCCTTCACGAGAACAGCTCTGTCCACACTCCCTGCATTTACATGATTTCTCCCGTGTGGATCATCTAATGGTGAGTCAGATAAAAGTTTCTACTGGAGGCTTTTCCAATTTGTCCATTTCCTCCCTGCATGGATCCTTTCATGATGAGTAAGATGTTCTTTCCCAGTAAAACTATATCCACACTCCATGCATTATATGGGTTTTCCCCAGCGTGGATTTTTTCATGAGTAAATGTATTGTGATTGTTAAAGCTTTCTCCACACTACATGCACTTCTATGGTGTCTCCTTCATGTGGATCCTTTTATGAGAATTAAGTGGCCCACTTTGAGTAAAGCTTTTTCCACACTCTGTGCATTTATATGGTCTCTCCCCTGTATGGATTCTTTCATGATTAATAAGAGCACTTTTCTGAGTAAATTGCTTTCCACACTCCATGCACTTGTATGGTCTCTCCCCAGTGTGGATCCTTTTATGATGAATAAGATCTCTCCTCCAGTTAAAGCTTTTTCCACACTCCAAGCATTTATATGGTCTCTCCACTGAATGGGTCTTTTTATGAGAATAAAGATGTCCTGTCCAAGCAAAGCTCTTTCCACATTCTGTGCATTTATATGGTTTCTCCCCTGTGTGAATCCTCTGGTGTCGAGTAAGACATCCTTTCTGAGCAAAACTCTTTCCACATTCTTTGCATTTATATGGTTTCTCCCCTGTGTGAATCCTTCTATGAGAAGTAAGATGTCCTTTCCAAACAAAGCTTTTTCCACACTCCATGCATTTATATGGTCTCTCCCCAGTGTGGATCATCTTATGATGAATAAGTTCTGTGTTCCAAGAAAAGTTTTTTCCACACTCCATGCATTTATATGGTTTTTCCCCTGTGTGCATCCTTTGGTGTAAAGTAAGGCGTGAGTTGTCAATAAAGCTCTTTCCACACTCCATGCATTTATACGGTTTCTCTCCTGTGTGAATCCTTTTATGAGATTTAAGGTTTCCTTTCTGAGTGAAGCTCTTTCCACACTCCAAGCATTTATATGGTTTGTCTGCTGTATGAATCATTTGATGTCGAGTAAGATCACTGTTGTAAAAAAAGCTCTTTCCGCATTCCAGACATTTATATGGTCTGTCCCCAGTGTGAGTCCTTTGATGGGAAATAATATCACCACTCTCAGTGAATCTCTTTCCACACTCCTTGCAACTATATGGTTTTTCAATAGTGTGGATCCTCTGATGGTGAGCCAAATTTCTCCTTGTAATGAAGCCCTTTCCACATTCTGTGCATTTATATGGTCTCTCCCCTGTGTGGATCCTTTCATGACTAGTTAGACATCCTTTCCGAGCAAAGCTCTTTTCACACTCCATGCATTTAAATGGTTTCTCCCCAGTGTGGATCCTCCTATGATGAATAAGTTCTGAGTTCCGACGAAAACCTTTTCCGCACTCCACGCATTTATATGGTTTTTCCCCCGTGTGAATCCTTTGGTGGACAATAAGGGGCCATTTGTCAATAAAGCTCTTTCCACATTCCATGCATTTATATGGTCTTTCTCCTGTGTGGATCCTTTTATGAGAATTAAGTTTTCCTTTCTGAGTGAAGCTCTTTCCACATTCCAGGCATTTATACGGCTTATCCACTCTGTGGAATCTTTGATGTTGAGTAAGATCTCTGTTGACAATAAAGCTCTTTCCGCATTCCAGGCATTTATATGGTTTGTCTCCTGTATGGATCCTTTGATGAGAAATAATATCACTACTCTCCGTGAATGTTTTTCCACACTCCTTGCAACTATATGGTTTTTCACTTGTGTGGATCCGCTGATGGCGACTCAGATTACAGTTTGTACTGAAGGCTTTTCCACATTCTGTGCATTTATAAGGTCTATCACCTGTGTGGATCCTTTCATGACAAATAAGATGGCCTTTCTGAGTAAAAGTCTTTCCACACTCTATGCATTTGTATGGTTTCTTTCCTTTGTGGATCCTCTGATGATGATAAAGATTAGTCTTGTTACTGAAGCTCTTTCCACACTTCAGACATAGTTTCAACTTTTTCCTTAGACTGAAATCCCTCTCATAGTTTGCAAACCTTTGTGGTTTGTGTTTCCTATCCAGTATCTTATGTAAAGTAAAAGAGAAGCAATGGCTCTTTGCAGACACTGCTCTTTGTAGTGTCAATAACTTTGGCTGCTTGTCATTCTCATTCTCCAGCTCATCAGCATCAGCATCACCTGCTTGGAACAAAAAACAAAACAAAACAGAAATTCTCATTAGAATTTACAATGATGGCAAATGGGGGTATCCCCCAGTCAAAAAATATACCCATCTGAGCATTAGGCTGGGCACCAGCCGTGTGTCAAATGAGGAGATATTGGGGGCAAATTTTTATCCAGGAGACTCTAATCGTATCCAAGGGATTTTTCAACCCAAAAGCTTTGCTGTTGATAGGTCAATCAGCCCAGGAATTTCCATGGAGCACCTAAGGCCTTTCCCAAAGTCATGGTGAGCATTTCTGCCAAGGTCTTAGTTATGTTGCAGAAGAGTTGTTATGGTGACAACCTTGAACAAAATTGCCCAAGAACTGCCTTGGCTGATTTGTCATCCAGGGTGGCCCTGGCGGTGCAGAATCAAGGGGAAATGTACAGGCCTCTTTGCGGCCATGGCTCCTCCACTGGATATTAGTTACACACTAAACATTCTGACCCTGAATTTCCTGAGATTCGGAGGGGTTTTAAAGTTGGTAGCTAGGTAAAGTTCTGACCACCTTATGCAACTGAATGCAGGTATCATCCCTGTTTACCTCCCACTGAAAACACCTTTCCCAATGAATGGAACACAAAGCAAAGAGGGCCTTTACTCAGAGCGGCTATATTCCTAGAAGCCTCCATTATGATTTCCTTGCACAAGGCCTTCTGGCCAGAATCCAGCAGTGCCCACTCCTCCTCTGTGAAGTCCACAGCTACTTCCTCAAAGGGAGCAGAGTCCTAGAAAGAAAACAAAAATCTTCTCCAGCAGACAATCCTCTCTTATATTTTCTTTCTTATTTCTAAAACAGAAAACACAGCTTTACAAGAGACAATATAGACTATTTTTTTCTAGGACATAGGCCCTGCAGGTCTACATAGTCTTTAGGGCTGAGACATTCCCCTCCATCTCCTCCATGCTGCTTTTGTAAAGACACAAAACCCAGCTTAGAGGCAGCCAAATTGTAGAATGGCACCCCTTCAACTCTTCAAACCCTTCGTTTGCATCCCCAGAACAATCTTGAAAGTGGAATGAGTAAAACTCCCTGGATCATTTTATGGTGACACCACATTCACCACTCAAAATTTGGTTGTCAAAGTAGCTCAGAAACCAAAGGAATTTAAACTTCTTACAAGAAACCTACATTTTCCTGGCAGGGTGTCCCCAGTTGGATCCTCCTGAAAGGAAGCTCTTTACAAGGACTGGATTGATCTCCTCTTCCCTGGAGTTCTGCTGAGATCTCCCTCGTGAATGGCTCCTGCAACTGAAAAGAACAGCCTGATTTACGATCCACTTTCAAATAACTGTAACCATGTCGATTTGCTTGCCTTACCTTTTTCCTCTCCAATTGTAATTTTCCAACCCAAATCAAAATGAAAGGACTTGAGAACTCCTATTCTGTGGGTGGCTGCTATTTCTGGATAAATGCCAGCCACTTTTGTGAAATACTTCATTGCTTCTTTTTATTTCCTCTTTTCCTGATGATCGGGAGCTGCTTTTTTATCTTCTCCCCCTTCACTTGACAAGTGTGGCCTTTCATTTTATGTGGATGTACTTAAGCCTGTTTTATATTTTGTTACCGAAAAATTTTCTCTTAGATTTGGGGACTTTTATTTCTAGAGTGAGACAAGATTAATCTCCCATTCAGTTTGGTGTGGCTTTTCTGTGCCCCTTGCAAGTCGGGAGACCATCAATCAGCATGGCAGTTCAGAGAGAAACTTTGGGATAAAAATGGAGATGCTTTCTGCGGTGAAATGGGCTCCTTGAAAACATTGTGACTGTCGATAAAGGCAATTTGAATACTTCATTTTTTTCTCACCTCAAATTCCCAATCCGGTTTAATTATAAATGTTTTAATGTTATCTACAATATATAGAAAGGATGAGCTGAACTAGAGAATTTCTATTACAATGTGTGGGAAAGATATCATATCCATCCTTCACATTCTCCCTTCTGCAGTTCAGAAGCACAAATCAAAGTAGGCTCCAGACAAAGATCAAAGTGCAGTGAGAAACAACGAATTTAATAGTGTACAACTTTCCTCCTAATCTGATTATAGTCTGAGATCTCTTTTATGCTGAGGTCTCTTTGATGAACTATGAAAATGGGCCTTTCTCCCAAGATTACCACTTTCAGTGAACAAATGCTAAACCTCATCTCAGCAGGGCGCCTGAACTGCAGCCATTTCTGTCATAGTGGCTAACCAGATACTTGCACTAATCTCTAATTAGTTATGCTGAAACTGAGCAATGGGGATAACTATATTCAAGCTGTGATTTAGTAAGGTATTTTACTGGGTATCATCGCTTGGGAAAGCGATTGTGCTTACTGGAGCCAAAAGCCTTGAAGAGGCTTTTTGCTCCCTAACATGTTTTCAAATAATAGCTAAATTGGATTTGGACCATGTATATATAACTTTCATCTTTTATTTCCTTGTTACCTTCTGGGAGGAGGCTTTGTGGTATCCGAAGCAGAACATCTAGATTCAGTCACAGTTTTGTTCATATAGCATCAACTTGTGAACTTTCAAGCTTCCTCTTCCTGCTAGTGATTAGTGCACAGTGATTAATATATACATGTGTGTATATATATGTGTGTGGATTATATATATACATACAATGTATATATATGCATGGATATATACATATATACATGCACACACATACATGTATGTATATGTATACAGCATGTGTATATGTGTTATGTACGTTTATGGCTAGATGTAGACTTTCTTTTGAGAGCAGGAAACAGAACATCATTTTTAATGTGGGCCAGTGTGCCCACAGTAAAAAGTGACAATAAAGATTACCTTATTTAACAACTTTTTTGTCATTGGTTGTGGCTTCCTTGTACTAAATTGCAGCTATGTCGTACTGTATACTTGTCCTTGTGTCCTACCTCTTCCCCCCAAAAAAAAATTAACTAGGAGGAAAAAAATTTAACTTTTCAACATCTAACTCCTCCCATGGAATTTTTACCAGTGTGAAACAAAAGCGTTTGCTTGAAAAAGAAGCAAACTTCAAAATATTAGGAGCTGCTGAAAACCTTGCGCTGATTTCTTTTTCATATCTGTGATTTCTTACTGAGAGGCTGTTAAATCTTATTAGCGCTCCTCTCCGCCAGGCATCTCTCGCGGTTAACTTGTCTCACCTGCCGGCCCTCTCCGGGGGGGTCCCGGGGGTCGGAGGAGGGCGGCGGGCCGAGCAGGAAGCCCTCGGCCAGGGCCACCGCCTGGGCGCAGCTCTCCGACCCGCACTCCCGCAGCCAGCCTGCCAGCTCCGGGGGCAGCAGGGCCAGCAGCCGCTCCAGCACCACCCGGTCCAGCATCTCGGCTTTGCCGCTCCTCTCGGGCCGCAGCCACCCGCGGCACAGCCGGTGGAGGCGGCTGCAGAGCGCCCGGGGCCCCTCGGCCTCTCGGGGGCGGCAGCTGCGGAAGCGCCGGCGCTCGGCCTCGGAGCTGCGGGGTCCCTCGGGGAGGCCGCTCGGACCGCCGCCTTTGTTCCCCGCCTGAAGGGCCGCGGGGGCCGCTGCTGCTCCCGCCCCCGGAGCCTCCATTCGGCCTCCCGCTTCGGCGCAGCCCGAACAGGGGAAAGCTCCCTCTGAGGCGACCCTCGGCCACGGCGGACCCTCCCCCGCCCGCTCCCCTCGAGCCGCCCCTTTCCCGGTTGCAGGGGCGCGAAAGGGGGCGGGGCTCTGTTTCCTCAGAACTTCTGAGGCGGAGAAGAGCAGCTGCAAGTCGCTCCCGCCACGATCTCCCCGCCCTCCTATCCCCACAGAATCTCGGTCAGAGAGGGCTGCTTTCCTAGAGAGGCAAAACCCTATAAGCCCCTTGGTTTACCGCTCTTGGCTAGAGCGCCTCGTAAGGCAACTCTCCCGTCCTCTGCTCGGTACCAAGGGCTGGCAAAGATCATCTGCGCATGCTCTGTTCTTTTTGCTCTATTTATTTTTAATAATAAACATACATGATGCGAGGGAGAGCCAGGGCAAAGGCGTTCAGTCAATAAATTTAATAATATATTTAATAATAAACATATATGATGTGAGGGAGAGCGAGGGCAAAGGCGTTCAGCCAGTAAATTTAATAATATATTTAATAATAAGCATACATGATGTGAGGGAGAACCAGGGCAAAGGCGTTCAGCCAGTAAATTTAATAATATATTTAATATTAAACATAAATGATGCGAGGGAAAGCCAGGGCAAAGGTGTTCAGCCAGTAAATTTAATAATATATTTAATAATAAACATATATGATGCGAGAGAGAGAGCAAAGGTGTTCAGCCAGTAAATTTAATAATAAATTTAATAATAAATTTATTGGCTGGATGCCTGCCCTTGGGCTCTCTAGCATTATACATGTTTATATGTTTATTATTAAATATATACTGCACAAGCCAGAAAGAGGACTATGAAAATATCGATAGACCCCTCACATCCTGGACATAAATTGTTTCAACTTCTTCCAAGACAACGCAATAGGGCATTGCACACCATAACAACCAGACACAAGGGCAGATTTTTTCCCCCATGCTATCACTCTGCTAAACAACTAATTCCCACAACACTGTCTTATGCCCTTGGATGTCAAACCACCTAGTTGGGCTGTATTACTATTATCCCTCTCATCTTTGCTATTGCCTATTTCCTTAGCTTCTTATGACTATAACTTTGTTGTTTGTATCTCATGATTTGTTGATTGCTTTTTAGTATCCTAATTTATGTTATTTAGTATTCTGACTGTCACTGAGTGTTGTATCTTATGATTTATGATTGTATTTTATGATTACAATCATTTATCACTTGTTGCTTTTATGTACATTGAGAGCTGATGCACTAGAGACAAATTCCTTGTGCATCCAATCACTTAGCCAATTTCTATTTTATTCTATTCTGTTCTGTTCCGTTCCACTCTACTCTAGCAATAAATGCTTTGGAGATTCCTTCAACCAGTTTATTTGTCCTCTTTGTTGTCTATATTTCTGTGGTGATACTCAGTGAAAGAATCTCCCTTTTTCTACAGAGTACAATCAGCCCTATATCCTTTTCTGTTTTACATCTATTTCTATTCTGTTGAAGTCTTGATTATTTGTTCACCTTTTTTGCTTGGTCTTTCCTGGCTAATTGAGTCTTAATGAGTTGATCTGAATTCAAGGGCTGCACTAGATAAAAAGAAATCAGAAATTGACCCCCTGAAGTAGTTTGTCCCCCTAGGTGGAATGAAATATGGCATTCCATATTGCTGGCCATGATGATTGGGTCAGATAGTGAAAAAAGAATACACGGAAGGAGGCTGTGGGACAATTACAGGCCATAAGAGTTTATTAATAAGACTGTAAGAGTTTCTTCCCCAAAATCTCAAGTGGTGAGGAATAATTGCCTTGGCAACTGCTCAAAAATTGTCTTTCTCTGGCTGATCTCACGCCTTCCCATAGTCAGAAGATGCCCAAGGGAAATGACAAGCTAAATCTTCAGAAAACCAGAAAATGAGCACTATTTTGTGGGAATTAACATAACTCTGCAAATTAAAACGCTTTCTAAATCTGATAAATGTATGTGATTTCTGTTTTATATAGTTTTTTAGGGTAAATTAAGAGGGGAATCGAGGAAGCCTCTGGCTGGAAAAGATAGTGAGATAGTAATGGACAACAGGGAGGAAAATGAAGAACTTAATTTCTATTTTGCATCTCTCTTTCCACATTATGGGGAGGGAGAAAAAAAATGAACGTCAAAACAGGCAATGGAAGACTTGACTGCTCTGAATGAATTCCAGTATTTGGAACCAGAAGGATTACATCCCAGGTGCCAAAGAAACTGGTGGATGTGATTTGGAACCACGGATTGTAATATTTGAGGATATTTGAGGATTATAACCATTGACTGTAATATTTGAGGATTCATTAAATGCAGAGGAAAATGCCTGAAAAAAACTAATAAGAGAAATGTTCCTATCTTTATCTTAGGAAAAGAAGTGGCAGTACAGATCGATCACTTTGTCATTACCTGGGAAAATCCTAGAAATGATAATTTAATTGTGCAGATAATCAGAAAGGCGTGCACACACACACACACAAAGTATAGGAGCACATACACTAAAGCAGTGATGGCGAACCTTTTAGAGACCGAGTGCCCAAACTGCAACCCAAAACCCCCTTATTTATCGCCGGGTGCCAGGTGGGCGTGGCCCACTGGATGGGCGTGGCTGTGGTGGTCATGGCAGATTGGGTGGGTGTGGCCAAGGTGGGCGTGATCACCTCAATGTTGCTCATGGGAAGGGACGCCTGTGGGGGCTGGGCAGGGTTGGGGGAGATCCAGGGGGTCTCTGGCAGGTGGGGTGGTGGGCAGGAGGCTCGTACGGGTCTGGATGGGGAGGAACAGACTCAGGCTCAACCCTTCCAAGACCGAGTGGCTGTGGCTGCCGGCGCCTCGGCATAGTCAGCTGACCCCATCGCTGACTATAGGGGGCGAAATTTTGGCCCCCTCAGAGAGGGCCCGCAACTTGGGAGTCCTCCTGGATTCGCGGCTGACATTGGAAGACCATCTGTCGGCCGTGACCAGGGGGGCGTTTTATCAGGTCCGCCTGATTCACCAGTTGCGACCTTTTCTGGACCGGGACGCCTTGCGCACAGTCACTCATGCTCTCGTCACCTCTCGCCTGGACTACTGTAATGCTCTCTACATGGGGCTCCCTCTGAGGAGCACCCGGAGACTCCAACTGGNGGTACGCTCCCACAGAGCGGGCCTCCTCAGGGTGCCGTCGGCCAAGCAATGTAGGCTGGCGACCCCCAGGGGGAGGGCCTTCTCTGTGGGTGCCCCCACCCTCTGGAACGAACTACCCCCCGAGATCCGGATGATTCCGGATCTCCTTACTTTCCGCCGCGCCCTCAAGACATGGCTTTTCCAGCAAGCGGGCCTGACATAGGGAGGATTTTAGGTAGGGATGATTTTAAAAGTAATTTTAATCGGAAACACAGCTGGCAATATTTGGTTTTTAATTCGGCTTTTATTGGGGTTTAGATTTTTTGTATTTCTGTATTTTTGTATTTTGTATTTTGTGTATAGTATTTGTTTTTAATATGCTGTGAACCGCCCTGAGTCCTATGGGAGAAGGGCGGTATACAAATTAAAATTAACATAACATAACAATTAACAGAGTGAGGCAAGGCAGGGCGGGGGTGCCATTGTCACAGGGCAAGGTGAGGCAGGGGCCGGGGCGGCTGCTGCCTGACAACATAAGCCCCTGCACACAGAAGCCAGCGAGCGCATGGGTGCTGGAATGCATCCAGCCATGTGGGACCTCAGTGAGTTAGTGGGCGGCTGGTTGAAGAGGGACGGTTGCCATCTCCGGGGCATGGCGCACGTGCCCACAGAGAAGGCTCTGAGTGCCGTCTCTGGCACGCGTGCCATAGGTTCACCACCACTGCACTAAAGCATTGTCTTGTTGTTTTGCTGTTAGACAAATTCTACCAAGAATTTGAAGCGGACATCTCTCCATGTAAACTTCCAAAACAGAAAATCGAGCTTTGCAACAGACCAAATGGTCATTTTCTTAAGACCTTGCAGGTTCATAGTCCTTAGGGCTGAGAATCCCTTTCCACCTCCTCCATGCTGCTGTTGTAGAGACACAAAACACGACTTAAGATGCATCCAAGATGTAGAATGGCACCCCTTGGAGAACCCCCCCACTGCCCTGGAAAACCTCACCAAGGTTTTGAGGAGAGGAATCTTTTGACTCAGCAAAAACACAAATTTCTTAGAAAACACACCATACTTACTAAAAATTTCTTTCATGGCCTATCTCAAAATGTCGGAATGTAGCGACAACTGCAAAAGCACCAGAACTCGGTCTCGGTTCTGCAGAGCCCCTCAGATGGGGCAGTTCCTTCAAAGGACACCTTGCCCTGATTGTTTTATTCCCCCCACCCCCACCCACATTTAAGGCCTTCAGACAGCCCAGCTTTCAACATCTCAGAAGGGATAGGATTTCCAGATGACTTAAGGAGAGACCTTAATTTCAAGGCTACTTGCTGTCTCTGCCCTTGCATGTGAATAAGGGCATGCAGAAGCGAAACTATATTGCTAAGGTGTTGGCAGCCCAATCCAACAAGAAGCAAAAACCTCCCCAGGTTTTTTTTAACAAGATTCATTGAAGAGAATATGACAGTTACAGAAATGGCAACAATGTATTCTATCACTTTTGGAACCATCTTATCCTGAGTCTCTCTCTCTCTCTCTCTCTCTCACTCACTCACTCACTCACTCACTCTCTTACAGCAGAAAGTTTTTCATGCTCACTATGAACCATGAGAAAGTTGCTCTCTTGATCGATAAAAGGAATGTCCAGGTGGCCAGGCTGTGAGTTTTTCCTGGATGGTGATCATCCAGTTCTGGTCACCGCGATGTAAAAAAGATGTTGAGACTCTAGAAAGAGTACAGAGAAGAGCAACAAAGATGATTAGGGGACTGGAGGCTAAAACATATAAGGAATGGCTGCTGGAATTGGGTATGTCTAGTTTAATGAAGAGAAGGACAAGGGGGGACATGATAGCAGTCTTCCAGTATCTCAGGGGCTGCCATAAAGAAGAGAAAGTCAAGCTATTCTCCAAGGCGCCTGAAGGCAGGACAAGAAACAACGGGTGGAAACTAATCAAGGCGAGAAGCAACCTAGAACTAAGGAGAAACTTCCTGACAGTGAGAACAATTAACCAGTGGAACAACCTGCCTCCAGAAGCGGTGAATGCTCCAACACTGGAAGTTTTCAAGAAGAGACTGGACAGCCATTTGTTCGAAATGGTATAGGGTTTCCTGCCCGAGCAGGGGGTTGGACTAGATGACCTCCAAGGTCCCTTCCAACTTTATTATTATTGTTGTTGTTGTTGTTGTTATTATCATTATCATTATTATATAAGTTTGTTAAGCATGATGTCATGTAATCACCATTTGAGACTTCCTGCTGGCTTCCCCACTGACAGCAGTAAAGATTGCAAATGGTAATCAGGGGACCGTGGGATGCCGTTTCACTTCTGAGTGAATCATCTGATGGGAAGTAAGGTCACTGCTCCATCTAAAGCTTTCTCCACACTCCTTGCACTTGTATGGTTTCTTCCCTGTGTGGATTCTTAGATGGTTAGTAAGAGCACTGTTACTGCTGAAGCTTTTCCCACATTCCATGCATTCATATGGTTTCTCTCCTGTGTGGATCCTTCGATGGTTAGTAAGGGCACTGCTGCTACTGAAACTCCTTCCACATTGCATACATTGATAGGGCTTCTCTCCAGTGTGTATCCTTCGATGGTAGGTAATGGCGCTGCTACTACCAAAGCTCTTTCCACACTCGATACATTCATACGGCTTCTCCCCTGTGTGGATCCTTTGATGGTAAGTAAGCGCACTGCTGCTACTAAAGCTCTTCCCACACTCCGCGCACTTGTACGGCTTCTCCCCGGTGTGGCTCCTTCGATGATAGGTAATGGCGCTGCTGCTACTGAAGCTCTTTCCACATTCCATACATTTATATGGCTTCTCCCCTGTATGGATCCTTTTATGTATGGTAAAATCATGGTTCAAAATGAAGCTCTTTCCACATTCCATACATTTATATGGTCTCTCCCCTTTATGAATCTTTTGATGGCAAGAAAGATTACTGTTTCTACTGAAGCTCTTTCCACACTCAGTGCAGTGATAGGGTTTCTCTCCAGTATGGGCTCTTTTATGAGTCATGAGGCTACTGCTCTCACGGAACCTCTTTCCACACTCCACACATTTATAGGGTTTTTCTCCCGTATGAGTTCTTTTATGTTTTATAAAAGTATTGTTGAGACTGAAGGTCTTTCCACACTCCATGCATTTATATATTTTCTCTCCGGTGTGGATCCTTTGATGGGATATAAGAGCACTGTTTTGACGAAAGCTCTTTCCGCACTCCATACATTCATACGGTTTCTCTCCGGTGTGGATCCTTTGGTGGAAAGTAAGGGCGCTGTTCTGACGAAAGGTCTTTCCACATTCCAAGCATTTATATGGTTTTTCTCCTGTGTGAACCCTTCGATGGCAAGTAAGTTGAGGGCTTGTATTAAAGCTCTTTCCGCATTCTGCGCATGTAAATGGCTTCTCCCCTGTATGGATTCTCTTATGGACTGTAAAATCGCTGTTAAAACTGAAGCTTTTCCCACACGTTGTGCATTTATAAGGCTTTTCCCCTGTGTGGATCCTTTGATGTCGAGTAAGAATAGTATTTCTACTGAAGCTCTTTCCACACTCGGTACATTTATATGGTTTCTCTCCTGTATGGATTCTTTCATGCGTCATGAGGCTACTGCTCTCACAGAACCTCTTTCCACACTCCACACATTTATACGGTTTCTCTCCTGTGTGGATTCTTTTATGTTTTATAAAAATGCTGTGTAGGCTGAAATTTTTTCCACATTCCACACATTTATACGGTTTCTGTACAACGTGGAATATTTGGCGAGACATAAGAATACTGTCCTTTCCAGCCTCCAAATATTTAGATGGTTTCTCTCCTGTGTGAATCCTTTGATCACAAGTAAGCTGAAGGCTTGTACTGATGTTCTTTCCATAATCCATGTGTTGAAATGATTTTTCTCTGGTGTGGATCCTTTGGTGGGCAGTTAAGGCACCGCTCTGACTAAAGCTGTTTCCACACTCCAGGCATTTATACGGTTTCTCTCCTGTATGAATCCTTTGATGGGCAATAAGGGTACCTTTTTGACTAAAGGTCTTCCCACACTCCAGGCATTTATATGGTTTCTCCCCCGTGTGGATCCTTTGATGGCAAGTAAGGTGCGTACTTTTACTGAAGCACTTTCCGCACTCCATGCATTTATACGGTTTCTCACCTGTGTGGATCCTCTTATGTATTGTAAGATCACTGTTCAACCTGAAGCTCTTTCCACACTCAAAGCATTTATATGGTTTCTCCCCTGTATGGATCATTTGATGGCGAGTTAGAATACTGTTGTTATGAAAGCTCTTTCCACAAACTCTGCATTCGTATCGTTTCTGAAATGTGCGGGTCCTTTGATGAAAAATGAAGGTGTTGCTACTGCTGAACCTCTTTCCGCCCTCAGAGCATTTATACGGCTTCTCATCGGCGTGGATTCTTTTATGTATGGTAAGATCTCTACTCATACGGAAGCTCTTTCCACACTCAGTGCATTGATATGGTTTGTCTCCTGTGTGGATCCTTTGATGGTAAGTAAGGTGCCTACTTTTACTGAAGCATTTTCCACACTCCATGCATTTATATGGTTTCTCCCCTATATGGGTCCTTTTATGATGAGTAAGGTCTTTGTTCTCAATAAATCTTTTTTCACACTCCATGCGTTGATAACGTTTCTCACCAATATGACAAATAAGAATACTGTTTCCACGGAAGGTCTTATTACGCTTCACACACTTATATGGTTTTTCCTCCATATGGGTCCTTAGATGGAAAGTAAGGACACTGCTGTTACTAAAGCTCTTCCCACACTCAGAGCACTTATGTGGTTTCTGTTTTGGGTGAAATTCTTCAGAGCAACTCTGATGACTACGGTTCAGACTAAAATTCTTCCCAGATTTTAAAAACGTAGGTGACTTATTTTTCCTACAGAATTTTGCAGGTAAATTATGAGGGAAGGGAAGATCGATACTTTTCTCATGCTGTCTATATTTATATGGTTTCCATTTAGTCTGGGTTTTGCAATATTCATTTAAAACAAATTTATTTTTGTCTCTTTCGTCACATTCTGGGTATTTTCTCTTCCTTTTCGGATCTGCCTGGATAGGGAAGTTATGGAGTTCAATACACAGAGGAGGAAATTTCTCCTCTCCATCCTTTGAGTAGATTCTGTCTTGCTTTCTTTGTTTCCCTTGCTTTTCAATAATCAGTTCTTCCACCTCCTGCTTGATTGTTTGCAATGGCACTTCCCATGACTCCTTGTCATGCTCATTCTCTTGATCATAACCTTTGAAGAGAAAAAAAAATTCTGTTATAAATTATATGCAGAAACTGAGACAGCTTCTAGGCAACACAATCCATTAAATGTATCCGTAATTTGTCATTATCGTTTCCCTCTTTTGTCTTTGTATTCTTTGGTCAAAATAAACCTAATTAATGTTGAAAAAATCCTTCTTATACTTCTTGCTTTTAAGATGTCTCTCTTTAAGAGGAATAAATACATCAAACTTTGCTGGAACTTATGGCAGGAAAAGGGAGTTGTTTCTCAGCCTACACATGAAAGAAATTAGCAATCTTTTTTATGCTAAACAATGTTAATGTTCTTGCCAATCTTTTAGAAACAAACCTTCAAAGAACAGCCCCTGTTCAACAAAGATCATGACGAGCAATCATGAAATCTAAATGAGGGAATATATTGAAGGCTAGCAATAGGAATAGCACTTAGACTTATATACCGCTTCACAGTGCTTTATAGCCCTCTCTAAGCAGTTTACAGAGTCAGCCTATTGCCCCCAACAATCTGGGTCCTCATTTTACTGACCTTGGAAGGATGGAAGGCTGAGTCAACCTAGAGTTACTCAGGATCAAACTCCTGGCAGTGGGCAGAGTCAATCTGCAATACTGCATTCTAGCCACTGGGAAGGGAGGGAGGGAGGGAGGGAGGGAGGGAGGGAGGAAGGAAGGGCAATAGCACTTAGACTTATATACCGCTTCACAGTGGTAGATGGGAAAAGATCCTAACATGCATCTAAGGAAGGACCATTTCTTCCAGATGGATTCGTAGCTGGCTGATCAGCCGTACCCAGCATGTGGTCCTCAATAGAACTACATCTACATGGAAGAAAGTGTATAGTGGGGTGCCCCAAGGCTCTGTTCTGGGCCCAATGCTTTTCAACATCTTCATCAATGATTTGGATGAGGGGATAGATGGGGAACTCATAAAATTTGCAGATGACACCACACTGGCAGGAATAGCCAACACGCCAGAAGACAGACTTAAGATAAAGAAGGACCTTGACAGATTTGAACATTGGGTGTTATTTAACACAATGAAATTCAATGGTGAAAAAAGTAAGGTTCTGCATTTAGGCAAGAAAAACCAAATGCACAGGTATAGTATAGGTGGTACCTTGCTCAATAGTAGTAACTATGAGAGGGATTTCGGAGTCCTAGTGGACAATCACTTAAATATGAGCCAGCTTTGTGCTGCAGCTGCCAAAAAAGCCAACACAGTGCTAGGCTGCATTAACAGAGGGATAGAATCGAGATCACGTGAAGGGTTAATACCACTTTACAATGCCTTGGTAAGGCCACACTTGGAATACTGCATCCAGTTTTGGTCACCACAATGTAAAAAAGATGTTGAGACTCTAGAAAGAGTGCAGAGAAGAGCAACAAAGATGATTAGGAGACTGGAGGCTAAAACATATAAGGAACGGTTGCTGGAAATGGGTATGTCTAGTTTAATGAAGAGAAGGACGAGGGGTGATATGATAGCAGTCTTCCAATATCTCAGGGGCTGCCACAAAGAAGAGGGAGTCAAGCTATTCTCCAAAGCACCTGAAGGCAGGACAAAAAGCAACAGATGGAAACTAACCAAAGAGAGAAGCAATCTAGAACTAAGGAGAAACTTCCTGACAGTGAGAACAATTAATCAGTGAAACAACCTGCCTCCAGAAGCTGTAAATGCTCCAACACTGGAAGTTTTTAAGAAGAGACTGGACAGCTCTTTGTCTGAAATAGGGTTTCCTGCCTGAGCAGGAGGTTGGACTAGATGACCTCCAAGATTCCTTCCAATTTTATTATTATGATGATTCCCTTTTTAATGCTCCAGAAAGTATTCTTTTATCCAATTACTTCTGACTACAAAACCCCCTGCCTAATTTACTGAACTTAAGAGCAAAGAGGAGCCTTACTGAGAGTAGCCACATTCCTAGAAATCTCCAGCATGATTTCCTTGTACAAAGATTTTTGGCTAGAATCCAGCAGTGCCCATTCCTCTTCTGTGAAGTACACAGCCACCTCTTCAAAAGACACAGAGATCTGAAAGAAAAAAGAAAACAATCCTTAGCAGAGCGTCCCGGGGAATCCTTCCGTGTTTCTTCCCTTTTTTTTCACAAAGCAGAAAAGCAGAATTTTGCCGCAGACTGAATGGACCCGTTATTGTAGGATAGTTCAATTCAGCTTTGTCTCTGAACGCCAAGTTTAGTCACTGAGATGGTGAGCTCCCCAGCAAAGATGCCACTATTTTAAGTGTACAAAATGTAGTTTAGCTGCATCTAGGCTGGAGAATGGAGGAAGCAGAACTCCATTTGAAGAGGCTCTTACTGGTGATGCAGTATGATCAGTGGTGGGATTCAAATAGGTGAACAACCGGTTCTCTGTGTGGATACTGCTTCCAGAAGTCCATTCTGGGCCTGGGCAACAAAAAATTAGCTACCGGTTCTGCCAAAGTGGTGCGAACCGGCTGAATCGCACCACTGAGTATGATGCAGCAGAGTCTTTGGGGATGGATATTCTCTTCCCCCACCTGCCTGGGTTGAGTAAATTGTATCAGTCTTACCCAACAGCAACCTATGTTTGGCATTTGCTTCGTACAAGAATTCAGCATTGGAGATGACTTTGGAAATCCTAACTTTGCAATAGTAGCAAATATCTGTCGCTTGGGTGTAGGATGAGGGTGAAGGTTCATTTTCCACAAGCTCGGAGAGCGAATCTTCCCCCTCACCCTAACTTTCTCACAACTTTCGCTTTTATATCCTTGCAACCTTTTACTGCAACAGCCATTCAGCCCAGTGACTGTATGTTATTCTTTTACATGGGGAATCTGTACTTTGCATGATTGTTTTAAATCTAACGTGTCCGTGGAAGTCTAAAGCAGTTTGTATAACAGCCGTATTGTTTCAATTATCTATTTTTAGCACTCTTTTATGAGCAAAAGAATTGGCTGTGAAAAGTTACCATAAACTACCACAGACACAGGAAAAGTACCCAACTCTTTCCACAAATTAATTGCATTCCTCAGTATTATCCTCCCAGGCTAGTCAATAGGATATGTCCCTTTCTCTTTGTACCTCCACAACAGTCTTAAAAGTAGATCAACCAGAATTTGTTTGTACTCTCAATGTTGCTCAGGAAGGGGCCCCATACTGGGTCCCATAACAATATTTTGTCCCCTGCTCTTTTGAAATACCTCCTACCTGAGTTGGAGGCCCAGCTGCTTTTTCTCCTCCATCCCAAAAGGGAAACATTTGGGGGATATCCATCAATGCCCTTCTGTTCCTGTGAGAGAAAAGTGGGGAAATAGAAATTGGAAAGGCCTTGTGAAGAAGCTCTAGGCCAGGGGTAGGCAACCTTGGCTCTTTTATGACTCGTGGACTTCAACTCCCAGAATTCCTGAGCCAGCCATGCTGAGGGGAAAGGGAGAGGTTTCCAAGCTGAGCCATGCTGGCTCAGGAATTCTAGGAGCTGAAGTCCACAAGTCATAAAAGAGCCAAGGTTGCCTACCCCTGCTCTAGTATGACCTACCTACAAATACAGACAAGTTTAGGATTTGTTGTAAAACAGACATTTGTGATTATTTGGAAGGAGCCTGGGCTTCTCGGAAGAAACCTTCATTTAAACCAGGGGTCTTCAAACTTGTCCCTTTTATGACTTGTGGTCTTCAAGTCCCAGAATTCCCCAGCCAGGCAGGAATTCTGGGAGCTGAAATCCACAAGTCATAAAAGGGACAGGTTTGAAGACTCCTAGTTTAAATAATGAGATGCTCTTCCCAGAAATTCTTAAAAACAGCTGACAGAGATTGAATAGATGTATATGTCCTTTTCCAATAATTCTGTGAAAAAGTAAAAATTACTGGAAAAAGATACATACTTTCCTTGCTTTTTTCAGAGAGGGGGGGAGGGAAAGAGAGAGATAGATGATAGATAGATAGACAGACAGATAATGATAGATAGAAATAATAGAGATGATAGATAGATGATAGAGATGATAGATATAGATATGATGGACAGATGAGAGAGATGACATAGATGACAGAGAGAGATGATAAAGAGAGAGAGGATAGATAGAGAAATGATAGAAAGAGATGATGGAAAGATAAGAGATGATAAGAGGATAGATAGATAGATAGATAGATAGATAGATAGATAGATAGATAGATAGATAGATAGATAGATAGATAGATAGATAGGATACAGAGATGATATAGATATGAGAGAGATGACAGGGATGATAGATGATAGATGATAGATGATAGAGAGATGATAATGATAGATGAGATGATAGATAGATAGATAGATAGATAGATAGATAGATAGATAGATAGATAGATAGATAGATAGATAGGATAGGATAGAGAGATGATAGATATGAGAGATGACAGGGATGATAGATGAGAGATGAGAGAGGGGGGGAGATGATATAGATATGATAGTTGAGAGAGAGATGACAGATGATAGACAAGATAGATGATAGATAGATGATAGATAGATAGAATAGGGAGATGATATAGATATGAGAGATGACAGGGATGATAGAGAGGATAGATGATAGAGAGATGATAATATAGATGAGATGATAGATAGATAGATAGATAGATAGATAGATAGATAGATAGATAGATAGATAGATAGATAGATAGATAGAGAGAGAGAGAGAGAGATAGATAGATAGATAGATAGATAGATAGATAGATAGATAGATAGAGAATAGGGAGATGATATAGATATGAGAGAGATGACAGGGATGATAGAGGATAGATGATAGAGAGATGATAATGATAGATGAGATGATGGATAGATAGATAGATAGATAGATAGATAGATAGATAGATAGATAGATAGATAGATAGATAGATAGATAGATAGATAGATAGATAGATAGATGGAATAGGGAGATGATATAGATATGAGAGAGATGACAGGGATGATAGATGAGGGGGGGGAGGGAGGGAGATGATAGATATGATAGATGAGAGAGAGATGACAGAGAGGGGTGACAGATAGAGGATATATGAGAGATTAGAGGGGCAATCAGACCGACCATCAGGCACGACGCCCCTCCAGCAGCCAGGAGGATCCTCCGGGGTTAGGGAAGACCCCAGAGGTGGAGCAGGCAGCCATCCGAAGCGCCTTCCCGACACCCAGGCGGGGTCCCTGGATCGCTGCAGACGCCGACAGGCAGCCGAGGAGCTGCCGTGAACCGGCCGGGCGTCCGCCTCCCTCCTATTTCACACCTTGGGGGCGCGGGGGGGGGTACAATAGAGTCTCGCCTCTACCGACTCACCTGCCTTCCTCCTGCTCGGGAGAAAAGACGCTAAGGCTCGCGTCCGAGTCTCTCTTCCGGCGGAACAGAAGCCTCGGAAAGAGAGTAAGAGAGAGAGAGGTTTCCTAGAGAGGCCTCCCTTCCGGCGGGCAGGACGAGAAACAATGGTTGGAAACTGACCAAAGAGAGAAGCAACCTGGAATTAAGGAGAAACTTCCTAATAGTGAGGACAATTAACCAGTGGAACAGCTTGCCCATAGAAATCGTGGGTGCTCCATCACCGGAGGTTTTTAAAAAGAGGCTAGAGTCAGTCACTTGTCTGAGATGGATGGTATAGGTTCTCCTGCTTGAGCTGGGGGCTGGACTAGAAGACCTCCAAGGTCCCTTCCAGCTCTATTCTATTCTAAATTCTATTCTAAACTCATCATGATCATAAACAACATGAAACACATTCATCATAAATCGTAAAATAAATCATAAGGTGCAACATAAATCATAAATCATATGATTTATCATAAGGTGCAACACTTAGTGATAGTCATAGAATACTAGCTAAGCAAACCACATAAATCATACTAGGATACTAAAAAACAATATAAATTTTAAGATACAAGCAACAAAGTTATAGTCATAAGAAGATAAGGATAGGTATAGGAGAGGAGAATAATAGTAATACAGCCTTACTAGATAGTTTGACAGTGTTAGGAATTAGTTGTTAAGAAGAATGACTGGCATTGGGGGGGGGGAACTGTCCTTGTGTTGTTGATTTACAGTGCTCTATAGCGTCATCTTGAGGGGAAAAGTTGAAATAGTTTATGTTTGCTCTTCCCATTAGTAAAAGAGGTGGGGAAGGGAAGCCCTGTTATTGCACTCTTCTGTGGGTGTTTTTTTTTTTAAAATCATCAATCATCATCTGCCACTCGAAACTAACTTGTTTCAAGTTTTGCTCCTTGACCCTTTTATGATCTTATGAAAGACCTGTATGTGAGTAAAAAGCCACAGACGTTTTGCCTCAAACAATGATTTAAAAACATGTATTTAAACCTACACACACACACACACACACACACACAGCGACTTCTGCTTCCAAGGAAGAGACTCAGTATTCTTCAAACAGTCCAAAGACATCCGGGACCTGCCCATTTAAGGTAGGAGGACATGGGTCATGGAGTGAAATGTGAAACTTAAATGCGTGTATTACAGGACATAATACAAGACATGAGTTATAAAGAGGAACATGAGTTCTAAATACGTGTATTATTAGTTAGAAGGAGAACAAAAGGAAATGGAAAGATGTCAAGCCCCAGGTTCAATTGTCGGTCGCACAAAGGTGTCAGAATTGCTGCTCGGCTACAGCTAACCACAAAGGCCTTTATGTCTCGTCTATAGCTAACCACAAGTAGGTTACCCGAAATTTAGACATTTAGACGCTGTAGGTAGGAACTTTAGCAAAGATATGTTAGCTACGGAAAGGGGGACTGTATGCTGTAAGGGGGCTGTGATTCGAAACAACCAATCCATGCTACCTGTTACATTTCCGTGTTTTGCTGTTTCTGACGAGAATATATAAACTTGTGTTTTGTTATGAGAGGCTGTTCAGATGTGCTTACAAATATTGCTCTGAACCTTTGCGCAAATAAACCAACTTCTTTTGATTCCGTGGTCTGAGTCCTGTGATTTTCTGCAGTACATTGATGGACTAACAGCACATCCAATTCACCCCCTGCACATCTTTTTACCATAATCTATAATTTGATATATGTCGTACAGCTTTATTGCTTTTTCACCTTGTGATCTGCCCAGAGTCGCCGTGGGGCGAGATGGGCAGCAAATAAATGTAATAAATAACTAATAACCCAATCAAGAGACCCTATAGGGCAGAGGTAGGCAACCTTGGCTCTTTTATGGACTTCAACTCCCATAATTCCTGAGCTATGCTGGCTCAGGAATTCTGGGAGTTGAAGTCCATGAGTCATAAAAAAGCCGAGGTTGCTTACCCCTGCTATAGGGAGATTTTGAAACGCAGCGCACAGAGAGCAATTTTGGGGGGATGATGCTGGAGACCGGAGCCTGGAAACGAGACAGGTGACCTGATGCACCTGCCCGACACTGGAGCACCGCGAAGAGTGTTGGTTGCAAGACGAAATTCAACGACCCACGCACACACCCACGCTTCCCCCCCCCCCGAGCTCGCACGAAAACATAAGCGCCTTCTAACATTTCCTTCCTCTTCCCAGGCAATCAGCCTTCTCCTGAAACCCGATTTATCCCCGGTCATCGTTGCTCCGCCCACTCCCGCTAAGCCACGCCTCCCTTTCTCTTCCCCCTCCTCCTGGGGTTCCACCTGGTTTGCAGAACTTGAGATCTTATCGCGGCTGAGTAATTAACCGCCAACCGATCGGGCCTCCGGCGACAAGTTCCTCGACCGTGAACCGAGGGTGACCTTCTTTTTTGGAGGGGGGGGCGTTAAGAAGCATCGCCGATGGGGCTCCTGGCTGCGATGGCCTTGGTCCTCAGCTCAGTGGGAGGCTCAGGTGAGTGCGGGGCTTACGCACGGTATGGGACTGCAGGTCCCATGGTCCCAAGCCCAAGCGTTTTAGCTTGGGACGATTGGGGTGTGGCGCACCCGAAGGCTCCGGATTGAATGGGGTTTTTATGAGATGAAAGAGAGAGAGAGGGAAGGAGGGAGAGAAAAAGAAGAAAGAGAAAGAAAGAAAGAAAGAAAGAAAGAAAGAAAGAAAGAAAGAAAGAAAGAAAGAAAGAAAGAAAAAGAAAGGGAGAGATAGAAAGAGAGAAAGAGGGAGGGGGGAGGAAGAAAGAAAAAGAAAGAAAACCGTTGGAACTGGCAACGGTTCCACCCGCGGGATAACGGAGAGTTAACTCCGGTTCGGCGTATTGTGTGAACGCAGCCCTTCGGGGACTTTTCCTCCCCCTCTCCTCCTTCCCTAATTGCGGAGGAATTTCCCGCACTTCAGTGAACTTTCGCTTTCGGCGGTTCAGATTTTTTGCGCAAGGCTTGTCAAGCAGTGACGATGCAGCTTGTTTTGTTTTCTACCGCATTCACTTTCATCATGAGAAGCTGCGTGGCGGAGAGAAGGAAACACGAGCGAGACCTGTGGGGCTCGACAGGGACTGCCTGATTTGGGAGGGGGGCAGGTGGGTGATAGGGCTGCCAAATGTGGGGTGCATAACCTCGGCCAGCCACTAGATGGCGGCAGAGTGTTTGCATTTCCTGTATCGTCTTGGGGGTGGGGTGGGATGGGGAGGAGACAGAGAGAGAGAGAGAGAGAGAGAGAGAGGAGGGATAGAGGGAGAGGAGAGAGAGAGAGAGAGAAAGAGAGAGAGGGATAGGATAGGATAGGATAGGATAGGATAGGATAGAGAGGAGAGGAGAGAGAGAGGATAGATAGATGGATGGATAGGATAGGATAGGATAGGATAGGAAGAGTGATGATAGATAGATAGATAGATAGATAGATAGATAGATAGATAGATAGATAGATAGATAGATAGATAGATAGATAGATAGATAGATAGATAGATAGATAGATAGATAGATAGATAGGAGAGAGAGAGAGATGATAGGAGAGAGAGATGATAGAGAGGGGAGAGAGAGGTAGATAGAAGATATATGAATGGATACATAGATAGAATAGTGGCATAATATTAGAGAGAGACAGATTAGATAAATTGTACAGAGAGATAGAACAGAGGCAAAATATTAGAGTGAGAGAATAGACCAAAGAGTAGATAGATGGTAAATAGACATATAGGGGAGGGGATTTCCTTTCAGTTTCATCTCCTTCAAATCCTGGCCAAAATATGCCCAGTTCAGCATGTGGGGCCAGTGAGGAGATTGCATTGGGGAAAACCCAGGCATACAGAGCACAACACTGAGGGAAAAACCGTGCTCACTGCAAAAATTACTGCACGGTTTAAGAAAGAGGAAACCCGAGTTTTATTCCCGTGCAAAGAGTTTTATTTGTATACAGGAAGTCTTCAACTTACGACCGCAATTGAGCCCAAAATTTCTGTTGGTAAGACAGACAGTTATTAAGTGAGTTTCGCAGCACTTTATGACCTTTCTTGACACAATTGTTAAGCGAATCACCACAGTTGTTGTTTAGTTGGTAACAAGGTTGTTCAATGAATCCGGCTTCCCCAATGAGTTTGCTTGTCAGAAGGTCGTGGAAAGTGATCACATGACCCTGGGACACTGCAACTGTCATTAATACCTGCCGGTTGCCAAGCGTTCAAATCTTGATCACATGATTACGAATATGCTTCAATGGTTGTAAGGGTGAAAAACTGTCATGTCACTTTTTTCAACGCCGTTGTAACTTTGAATGGTCACTAAATAGATGGTTATAAGTCCAGGACTGCCTGTAGAGTTGAGGGCTGCAAGATAAGAAATCTGATTTGCTTGTGGAAGTTTGGGAAAGCTAGCAGGTTATCTTTAGATTTGGGGTAAATTTTAGGCAGACTGGCTCTTTCAAAAATAGAATCGAATAAAACTTTATTGTCACTTTAATTGTACACTTAATCAGCATATATTAAAATGAAATTTTGTTGCATTCAGTTCTCAAAAGGTAACCATTATACATATGCCAACACACACACACACATATGACACAAAGAAATATCACAGTCTAGTTCGAGTACATGGCAAAAAAAAGAATCCTGAGAATTTACAATATGGATGGCATAAGGCAGGGGTCCCCAAGAATCCTGAGAATTTACAATATGGATGGCATAAGGCAGGGGTCACGTGAGTGACCGACCTGGGTGTGCGTATGCCCGTGGACAGCCCCACTTGCACGAGCATTGCTAGCATCACGGGTGTTTGTGGCACTGCTCACGTAAGTATTTCCCTGATCATCATGGGCATTGACAGCCCAATTTGTGTGAGTGTCATTGCTGGTGTTTGCGGTCCCACTCATGCGAGCGTTGGCGCCGGCGTTTGTGGCCCCACTTGCACGTCACCGCGTCACAGACATTTGCAGCCCCACTCGTGCAAGCGTCGGCACGGGTGTTCACAGCCCCCTTGCATGAGCAT